GGCCTTGTAAGTATAAATATTGGGGTGCTAGAATGGGTAGCAGGCATAAGGAGGGAGTTTAAAATACTGCTGCTTGAGAACGGAGAGGGCTAGCAGGGCTATCGAGGGATTTTTAAATGTGAATATTGTGATCTCGAAGGGGCTAGCAGGATAGCGAGGGCTTTACGAACAAGTGTTACCCCGGGACTAGGAGATCTAGAAGCAGACTATGGAGGCCTTTTAAAAAACATGAGGGCAGAAATGGATAGCAGGGACATTGAGGGCTTTGTAGCGATTATTGATGAGCTCGTAGGGTTCAAGAATAGTAAGGTATTTGAAAAATATCGGGTGTGTACGCATTGAAGTATTTTAGGAGCTGTTGGGGAGCTGATTAAGTAGAACAGCAAGGATATTAAGGGATTTAAGACTATTATTGAGGAATTGATGGTACTAGGGGAACTGATGGTTTTTAAATATCGTGGGGGGTTAGGAAAAATGGAGATGTTTATGTTTGCTTGGGGGTTGTAAGGGTTACCCTGGTATGTAATATTATTGGAGGAGGGGGCTGAAAGGGGTATGTATACCTGGTAGCATTGAGGGATCTTTAGATATGGGTATTGGAGGAATAAAGGGGTAGTAGAAAGAGGTACGAGTTTTGTACATGTTGAAAGATTGGGAAGGCAACTTGAAGATATTGGGGTGTAGGATTATTGATGAGAGGCTGAAAAGAATGAGGGGGGCTTGTTTAAAAAAATATTTGGGGTAGTATTAGGGACGGCGAAAGGGAGATCAGAGGTATCAATTTTTTGTTTGTTTATAAGCATTTCAGCCGGGTAGGATTGTGGAGTGTATATCTGGGATGCTGGGGTACAGCTGGTCTCTGAAATACATCTAGAGGGAATGCTGGAGGGACGGTGGAGAGAGATGCTACCTTTAACCCTCTTGGGAAAGAAGTTGGGAAGGGAAAGGATAAGTTCCTGCCCCCTCTTCATTTCGCCGTCTTCCTATTCGAGGTGAGGGCTTTCTGGTGGAAAGAAAGGGGGTAGAGGAGGAGGTGGGCAGGCTTTGATTCATCAGATCAGATCACTTGAGTGGAAAAATTGAGCTTTTCAGAAGTGAAAGTGAGGGTAGTTTGGGAGGTGTGGAGGTATGTATGGTAAGGTTGGGGCTGTTGAGACAACAGCTACTTCCCTGTTTTTCTGGGTCCTCCTGAGAAATCTTAACTAACTTCTGTTGTTTTGCTGCTTTGGTTTCTTGGGGTGAGAGGGTAACTAACACCTAGGAAGAGAGTCGTCTGCAGTTGTGCCTGCCTTGGGAAGGGTAAGGAGGGGTAAGGGAGGGGAACTTGCATTCTGAGGATGAGGAGAGTGTGAGGAGAGCACCTAGGCATGAATCAATGTGCACGAAGGGCTGCTTCTGAGTTTTACATTAGTGATGGCCTAGTTAGAGTGAAGATGACTTATGAACACACTTGAAAATTTTGTAGAATATGGGCCTCTTGAATGTGCATCATACTTTTTCTATAGTAAAAAGTTTTAGAGCAACAAAGATGGAGATGAATTGTGATACAGGTGAGAAATGATGAAATTGATTGGTGAAATTGACCATGTATGGAAAAGGCTAAAAAAAGCCTGTGTTTAACAAAATTCTTTACCTTTGTGTTCTTAACATTAAAAAAAACAAAAACCCAAAAACTTATCTCTTGCTTTTTTTTGTACATCTGCTATTCCTGTTGCCTTTGTGTGTGTGACAATTTTTTCATACAAGCTCTGATTTTGTTACTAGAGGTCCTTTTAAAAGTATTAAATGTATATTTTATGTCTTGGATAGAAGGTGACCAGTTTTATTTAACATTGTAGTTCTTTTTTGTGAAGCTCCCTAAAATGTGTTACTCTGGGTAGTGTTTTTTGTTTTTGTTCTTAATGTCAAAATTTATTTTGTGTAGGAACTTAAACCTCCTAAGAGTGTTTTCAACTACACTTTTTTGGCTATTTATACTGATAAATGTTCATAGACACTCAATAATTTTTATGGGTAAAAATCACCTTTCAAAATGATTATTTTAGTTTCCCCACTTTTTGCTTGCTTATTTTTCAAATTCAATTTATTGGGGTGACATTGCCCATTTGTTTTGAGTTATGTGTTCAATTCAAAGCATGCATCATGCTTCTTTTTCTTTCTATTCTCTTTAATTTTTGTTACTACTTTTTTAGGGTTAAAATATGTAAAATCTCCACTATATTAGATTTTAACAATATAGTGACTTTCCTAGAATTACAAAGTAAAAATATTTATGTTTAACTCACATAAGTAATAGTTTCGAGTGGAAGTGTTAATAAGAAATAGTAAATGCAAATGCAGATATCACATACATTTTCATTTCTAGTATGCTGTCATGGAAGATAATTTTTTGTTTGTTTAGACATCCTAAAATGTAATAAATGATATGCTAAAGAGGGTTGTATTTGTAAATTTACTTTTTGCATATTCCAGATTCAAGAAAATTTTCATGGCAGATTGGCATGTTGCTACAACATAGCATTTCAGAGCAGTTGTTAGGCTTTCAGATAATATATTTGCAGTGGATATGCTGGAATCATGCTGTGGCTGTGCGCATGATTTTCCACTGCACTTTCTTATTTAATTTACAGTTAAATAAACTTATAAAAGTTCTTATTTTCTAGGAGTTTTTAAACGTGTTACTTCATATCACTGGTGAAACAAAGGCATGTAATGGGGGTATTTCTAAACCAATCCAGTTTACATGTGATTATTCACTGTAGACAAGTTAGAAATAATCATGTGCTATTAAGAGTTCATCTGTTACTGTCCACTCCTTTTTGTAAATGTGGGACATATGTTACTTTTACTAGAAGAAAGACAGAAGGAGGGAGCCTGGAAGAAATGACTCCTTGACTGGCTGGGGAAAACCCAGTACCATTTCTGTTGGCAGTGCATAAAGGGGAGAAAAACCATCTTGATCAAGAAGTTTTTCTGTCTCTTTTCCTACTGCTGCATGAACAGACAACTCACAGATCTTTGTTTGGGGTCCTCATCTTTCCTTACTTACAAAAAATCCTAGGTATCCTAGTCAGAGGCAATGCAGGGATTATGCACAATTAGGAGATGTTGTGGTTTCTATCAAAAATAACTGCTCATTTTAAGTAGGTGAACCCCTTAAAAGTAAGGTCCTAAGTACATCTAGGTGGTAAATGAATCATCGAAAACATTTCTACAAGAGTAGAAAAAGTTCAGGCAAGCATTTTTCAATAACAAACATGCATTTCTATAAAAAAAAGTCTCTAATGAGGAATGTTTTATTTATTACATATATATATATATATATATATATATATATATATATATATATATATAGTAGTTCGCCGCTGCTTGTTTGGCTTATTGTAAAAATTAATCTTGGTATATGTCTTAAAAAGTGTAGAGGGGTTTGTAATACTTTATGGCCAGTTATCCATCTATCTATCTGTCTGTCCATTCGTTCTTCCGCCCATCCATCCATCCATCCATCCATCCATCCATCCATCCATCCATTCATTCTAGTAGAGCATTGCTATGTGAATCAGGGCATTTAGTTTCTAGTTGTTGATCTCTGATTCACTGTGTGACTTTGGAGACATTGTCTAACCTTTCTCTATTAAGCATAGTTAATTGTTAGCCTTTTACCTTCCTCACACATATGGTTTGAATATTAATGATGCAGACTTTACAGTGCTTTGTGTACTTCAGACTCATTAAATATAAATGAAATTTCATGTTTTCTGGAATATGAAAATACACTGAACTCTTTCTGCAAAAATATTTTACTTATTAATGTAAAGCATCACTGCCACTTACAAAATAATTCTAATGCATGACAGACCTAGAGTCTCATTGTGAGCTGAATAGGCAGGAATTGCTAGTGAAAGCCATAGACTTGATGTGCAGTTTCTGTGAGTTCAGGCCATATCAAGGTCTTTTTTATTTTTTTATTTTTTTATTTTTTTTTTAAGCTGAGCCATCCTGCTACCTGTTGGCAGCTCAGCGGCTGCTCAGCTCGGGCTGGACTNGAACCGCTGTTGCTCAGAGCTCAAACTCTTGAGCGAGCTCTTAACCAACTGAGCCACTCGGCCGGCCCCAAGGTTCTTTTTTAAGTGTACTAGGAGATTGAACATGTCAGCTCTGAGTGTGATGGAAAATGCAGAAGTAGCTTCACAGACTGAGACTATTTTATTGGTTCATATTTATTGGTCATAATAGGTATACTTCGTTTGAACTCTAGAATTTACATGTTGCTATAGGTTTGCAATCCTTATCAAGTTAAACTCTGACTAGTAATCTCTGCAGTTGCTCGAATGGGAGGAAAAATCATCACCTTGCAGCTGGCTGTTAGATGTGACCTCCCTAATAAATAAATTATCAGAGTGAAATGAGTATTTTGGAGGCATATTCTTACAATGGAGAAGCACGGATAATTTTCTAACATGTACTTCAGTGGCTTCAAAAATTAGTGTGCCTCTAATATGCTGTGGGACTTGTTTAAGGAGACCTTTAAATATTTCATTGAAAAGGACTTATTTTGACCAGAAGACTTCTTGGCAAGTTTTCGCATACTAAGTTAAGAACATATTTGTTCTTATGTCCTTTGGTCCGCTTCCTAAATATGTCTGACTTCATTCTTCCTGGCCCAATTGCTATGGGCTAGAATCCAAAAGTTGCTTTTATAGTCCTGTGTTTTCTACCACTGTCTTTTCTCATCCTCTCACAGTGTTGTAATTTTGTTATTAATCCCTTTTTTAACCATTTGTTATTTTGTACTGTAATTCTTTTCATATCCATCTTGGACAGTGACTGCAGGGTAAGGTCTATCTTACTCAAAAGTAAATTCCATTCCCCAGCAAGATGCTTGGCATTTAGTAAACATTCAGTAAATGTTGAAATGAATCAGTGTGCTCATATGTATATTTAGGTTGGTCTACAGTTAGAAAAGTATGATTTTTTTTTTTAATAGTCTAATTCTCTGGGTATGCTTAGCTGGTGCCTACTGCTCTAGGTCGCCATAGTCCAAATATCAAAATGGTGTTTACAGCTAACAGATGTATGTATATGTAGTTTTTCCCAAAATAAATTTAGGAGTATTTTATTCTATATCATATTCATTCATGAAAACCCCTAATTAAGGGGAAGATGAAAGCTTTTATTTGAAAAAAAGTGGAAGTGCTAATATTTGTATGTTTAATATGTGTTAACAGGTTCTTAGAACTTAATATTGGGTTGTGAGAAAAGTCATGACGTATTTTTTCTGTTTTTTGTTGCCAAAATGCATCATAACCCAATAAATAGTTATTCACTTATACTCTTTGATAAAATAAACTCACATTTTACTTATTTTTCCAGTACTGTCTTATCAAAGGAATAACCTGGACACAGATCTCAGAGTCAAACTTTTTGGTTTTTTACTTTTTTGTAAAGTAAAAATAAAACCATTATTTGCATTACAGAAAATATGGAAAGGAGAGAAAAGAATAAAATTATTTGTGTATGTTTCTTTCCAGTTTCTCTTCTGTGTATGAATTTCCATGTAGCTGTAATCTGATTCAAATGTAAATTTTTTAATCTTGATTTCTCCAATTGACGTTACACCAAAAGCATTTTTCATATTTGTGTATTTTTATAACCATCACTTTGGATGCCTAAGGTTTCATAAACATTCAACAATAAGAATGGTTACCTTGACTTTACTTTTTTCTGTTAGAAATAATGCTGTTTTTATATAGTAAATATATATATATTTTTTTTGTAATTTAAATTTTTTTTTTAAATTTTTTTTTTTAGCTGAGCCATCTTGCCACCTGTTGGCAGCTCAGCGGCTGCTCAGCTCGGGCCAGGACTCGAACCGCTGTTGCTGAGAGCTCAAACTCTTGAGTGAGCTCTTAACCAACTGAGCCACTCAGCCAGCCCTTAGTAAATATGTATTTTTACTGTCTCTTAGGTACCAGTAGTATTTTCTATATTTGGCTTTATTTCCTCAGGCTAGTTTTCTCTAAGTACAACTGCTATATTAGTCAAAGAATGTGAATATTTTTAATGGTTGTTGATACACATTAGGATCAGGAGGTTTTTTTTACCTCTCTCACCTCTGGGGAAAAAAAAAAACACACAAAGGTAGAACTTAAAATTGAGCCAATATTCAGAGAGATGTAAATTTTTCTGAAAGTGGAAAAGGTTTAAGTAGTCCTGGCTTTTTCCTAAAACAATTAGACTGTAAATTTTTTTTTTTTTAAGTATTGTTTTTTGGCTTGGGGCCTAAGATAAGGAAGGACCTTCACTCTTACATCTTGAGATTGGGTACATGTCTGAAATTTGTAAAGGTGATGTATCAGCTCATGTGTCATATATAGCAGATGTGTCATATATCTGCAATGGAGATTTCATGAAAAAGTCAAATTTGAGGTTTATACAGATAAGACCTTTTCAGGGTGATAGTTCTGTTAACTTCCCGTCATAAAAATTCATCCTAATTGATTTTTATTTTTTAAATAACTTCAAAGATAGATAATTGATACAACATTTTCTTAGGACATTATTATGCAAGATGTGAATTTTAAGGTCCTCATATTTGTAACTTCCATTAAACTTTAGGAAACTTCTATTGGGTTTTTATTTTAACTGAAGGTTAACTATTGGTTGAGATTTAGGATGCATTAATTTGTCGTGTAGATACACATTAGAAAAGTGTATGCTGCTGTGAAAGAGATTTTACTCGTGTGGAATTGCAGCTGAGTTTTAGTTCCATGGGCGTGCTCTCTGCCTGATCTTGAGTGGATCACTTAATTTGTGTAATATTTACAAAGCTAGGTACCTATCAAATGAATAATAATTCATCAATTATACTGTTAAGGACTTTCGAAGACTATAGTAGAATGGTAATTTTAGATGGGTATTGTCTATTTTAATCTCTTTGTTATAATAGAAGCCCCTTTTTTGTTTAGAAATGTGTATATTTAACATTACCATGGATCCGAAAATTTTAAAATCTATTTCATTCTATAATGTGCTTGTCCCTATACTTAAGCAGAAATGATTTTTTTCCATAAGCTTTGGTTACAAATAAATAGCTAAAAGGTTTTACTCTTCATAGGTATTATTTCTTGGGTAGAAAAGTAAGAACTGGCCCTGCATTTGTCTAGTAATTTATCATGGATCTTAGTCAAGCTCAGATTTTTGTGACACACTTCTGGATGTCTTATTGGGCTACTATTAGCATTGCTACCATAGCTACTACAGTATTGTAATTGTCAGTTTTTAAAGATTATATAGTAAGGGGTGATGAAAGACTAAATAAGAACAATCATAAAGGTGCAGAAAATTACAACATAAAACTCCCCAATGTATTTAAGTTTCACCATTCAAGTGGTGTAACTTATTTCAGACTGGCTATTTTCCTCCTAGTGCACTTTATAGATACTAGGTATATTAGGAGCTCTTAATTTAAATGGTCCTATTCTTTTGGCTATAAACACTTACGTATTTGGTGCAGAATTCTAATGATACTAACAATCAGTTGTTCATGCACATTAAATAAATATGTAGAATCTGTGGCCACTCTCTTTTCTTGGTGTCTAGTCTTTTTCTACTCTTACCTTCTCGTAACTATTCGTCTTGAGTTTTAACACTGTCACATCAAAATGATTTCATCAGAAGCAGCCTAACTCTGCATTTGTTTTTCATAGTCTGAATACTAAATATCTGTAGAAGATATTTGGGTATGTTTCACCCACCTCATTTATCCAGTAATCTGAATGTTGAGCCTGTTTCTCACTAGAAACTTTATATCTTTCCTTACCCAGCGTGTACCATCAGGTCATGAGTCTCCTTGAAAGTTCTCATAACACCAGAGAAAATAACATTGCCTCTTTATGCCATTCTTATTTTAAAAAACCCCTTTCTGTGTTTAGAATTTTTTTTCATATATAGAATCTGAACTTTCTAAGTAAAGGTAGAAATGTGATTCCCACTCCCTCACCATTTGAATGTTGATTAGAATTACACTGATCATCTATCTAATTCTCAAGATGAAATTAAGTCTACCTGCACATCTCTATTTTGAGGTATTTACGGACTGACCAAGGTAGACATCGCATGTGTAACAATTTTTGAAAGTAGAAATGCTATATATCTATTTTAGAATTTAGCAATTGGATTTACTAGGGTAATTTGTTCTTAATTCTTCAAAATGTAATTTATATTTTTTATTTAAGAAAAATCCTGGCTCTTAAATTTCATGTTTTTATTAATTTGTAACTCGTCATCTTTGGCAATTACACTCTCTCCTCATGCTCTTTGATCGTTGGCCATAATTTATTTTTATTAGCTCTGAGTATTGTAAAATTGACAATCATTGAAATTTGCTGTCTTAGAATTTGATGCATAAATGTGCATAGCTATTTAAAGAACCAGCCTTTCCCACAACAATGTTAATATTGGCAATTATTAAAAAATCTTATTTTATTGAATTATGAACTTTAAATACATAGACGAGAAGGAAGTAAAGGTGCTAGTGCTTGGTTTTTACTTTATTTACTAATTTCGTAAAGTTGTTGGAAATGCGATTGATACTCTTGAGCTGAAACTTGAACTTTCTTGTTGACAGTGGAGGGCCAAGGATTATAGAACAAGATTAGTTAGATTTGAATAGTGTTTTACAGGGATGCTATCTATCACTTTGCTTGCATACTGATTTTATTTACTGTCATTGGGAATTTTTTCATTTTACCTGTTATAGTAATCCTATGAAACTACAAAAGATATGTGTCACTTAAATGTACATTCATGAGGAGAATAGAATATTATTATAAAACAAATATATATTTACAACATAAAAGCTTTCAGTTTCATATAATGTATATAAAATGTTAAGTCTGACAGATATGTCAGGAGTTGGCAACTCAAGGATCATGTGCTGCTCTGGCATAGGAGATGATTTTGAATGTCAAAGTCAGCTTACTACTAACTAGAAAAAACAAGTGAAGTAGATAAAGGTTATCACTGCTGTTCTTCCACCTCTCCTTATCCTTTCTGGTCTCACGTCCACATCTTCTCTCTTGCTTCTAGTTGCTAAAGTGTTTGCCAATAATATTTAAGGCACCATCCTCCTTATGTCCTCACTTTTTAGAAAAGATCCTGCAGATACTCGTTGAGAAGATTAGCAGTGCAGCTGATCGCCTTTTTTGGATGCTGGTGCTGGGGCTTACAGGGAAAGGGGGAAACTGTCCCTTCACTTCCTGCCTTTCTTCCTCATGGGTCACATGGAACAGATAGTTCCTGAAGATACTGACAGTGCTGCTGCAGGCTGGGAGGCAGGTTGCAAGCTAAGGACCAGTTGCCAACTTTTCCCTTTTACCATTGAGAAAACAAATAAATGTAGATTTGTTTCAAAATTCTGGGTATAATTAGAACATCGAAAATAGGACACAAGCTATTTTATAAAACTAAGCAGAAAAGGAAGATCTTACTTGCACTGTATGTATGTTGTTATAATAGTCGCCTGGGTTTGCAGTCACTTTTTAAAGTTTTTGACATTTAGCTTTCCAGGATGGGATGACCTTATTAATGATATAGCATTTGAAAAGAATGTTTTAAAATTTTTGTTTTCTCTCTAGATGCGATGCTGACCCTTCAGCCTTAGCCAACTATGTTGTAGCACTGGTCAAAAAGGACAAACCTGAGAAAGAATTGAAAGCCTTTTGTGCTGATCAACTTGACGTCTTTTTACAAAAAGGTAATGATTATGGGCCTTCCACCAAGTATTTAAAGAGTTTAAATTTAAAGCTTCCTGGCAAAATCTTGAAGAAATAATCTTGAAAGGAGAGAAATTGGTAGGGTCCTTTTAAATACTTGAATATACCCATTCATGCTTGTTTATCAGATATTTTGGCAGAATTGTTTTTCCCTTTCATTTTCTGGTTCTTTCCTGTACTGAGGCAGTGGGAACCAGTGCTTTTTAGGTGAATGGGTCCTTTGCAGCTTGTGGCAGAGCCTAGTTGATGGTTGGGGGGTAATGATTTAAGGATATTGAAGCTGCTTATTCTCAGTGTTTATTGGGACAGTGAAGCTATCTGTTGTTTTCCCTCTTGGCTGGGGCTTCTTGATATCCAAGAAGAGATGGATACGATCCTCTTCTCTTTGCTCCTTTAACTTCCCTTCTTCTCACCAGAGTCCTTTCCATAGTGCACAGAGCTCCCTGGAGTCCTCTCTGCTGCTTCTCTGACCTCGCCTCCTACCTCTCCTCCTCACTGTTCATTCCAGCCACATTGACCGCCTGGCTGTTTTTTCCAACATGGCAGACATGTTTCCCCCTCAGGGCTTCTGATTTACCATAGTGTCCTGGAAACATGGTGCCTTTCCTTATGGCTTCTCATCTCTTCTCAAATGTCATCTTCCAGTAGTTTCCCCTATATACAAACTATAGTAAACCCCATGCCCCAGTCACTCTCCTCTCCCCAACCTTGCAGTGTTTATTTGTTTTTTTCATGGCACTTCTCACCTTCTGTCACATGTTTGTTGGCCTATTTCTGTGTGTCCCTTCCTCCTACCCTCTGTTTGGCCTTTCCCTGTGTTGAGAGAGGAGATGTGGAACCTACAGTACCTGACACATAGAAGATACTCAATAAGTACTGTCAAATAGATGAACAGGAATGTAGATAATACACACTTACTGACTGACCTAGCTGTTGGTGGTAAGAAGATACTACCTTTTAACTCAAATATCTGCTAAGAAAGAAAAGATACTAAACATGACTTCTCAATCTAGAACACAGGATTACATATTTTTTTCAAAAGCATTTTAAGGCTTTTCTGTATAAAAAAAAATTTAATACAGAATTATTCTGTAGTACAGATGAGTATTTTCTTTTCTAAATATATTAATTTACTTTACTTAGTTTCCATTAAAGATGAGTCATGTGAAGTGTAGAGCCATAAAAAAAAAAAAAAGTAAAACAGCAAAGATATTTGGGGTAAGAGGCAAATATATGTTTAGACATCTAAGAATTCCTTGTTATAAAAGCTTTAAAGATTTTTAGTAACTTTGTTAAATTACAAAAGCAATACACATGAAGGAGAATTTTAAAGAACATTTTAAAAAGAAGAAGATAAATAGCTATAAATTTGCCACCATAGAGAAAAATCACGGTTACCTACTTATGTATGTGTGTCTTTCCAGACTAGCATTGTCTAATAGAACTTGGTGCAGTGATGGATATGGCCTGTATATGCCCCTTCCGACTCAGTAGCTTCTAGCGGCTACTGAACACTTGAAATGTGGCCAATGTGACTTAAGCACCGATTCTTAAATTTAATTTTACTTAAACAGCCACATGTGCACAGCTCTACATTTATGTATATGTTTATGTCACATATTAAAGTGGTTTTAAATGAATACACTCTTGTAATATGCTTTATAAAAACATACTGTATCTTGAATATTGTTTTAATGTTAGATGTTTATGTTTTTTCTTCACTGGGTTATATGTCTTTTAAATTAAAAAGGTGTTTTAAAATGTTTTAAAAATATAGAAGCATATGGAGAAAATGATCCTAAAAGCTTTTGAAGGGTCTGATTAATTTATTATCTATGTGTAACAGTACACAAGAGATAACAGTTTTATAATCATGGGGAATACTACACAAATTAATAAGGTTATGAAAAGATGCTTTTCTGAAGAAAAATTAGACATCTTAGAAACAACTATTTATATAAAATGTGTAATAATTGCAGTGTAAGAAGTCTGTGTTGTACTTTTTTTTTTTTTAAGATTTTTATTGGGGAATTGGGGGATGGTAACAGTGCTGGGGAATTGGGGGAAGGGGAACAGACAAGTTGCTGTCCTTTTGTTCTTCAGCAAAGTGTGGAGGACGTTGCTTCACTGGCCCAAGTTGGCACCATCATTGCGCTCTTCCCTGGCGAGGCACATCATTCGCCGGCTTCTGGACGGCCGCTCACGGCGGCTGCTGGCCGCTCACGCTAGCTGCTGACTACATACAGTAGCCCATGGCAACCCACTGCCACAGGGGCTGCAGCCTACGCTGTCGCCGTCGACTCACGGCAGCCCAGCTCCAGGTTGAGCTGTTGTTCAGCATCTTAGCTGTAGAGGGCAGTGTCACTGGCCCTCATATGTGGGATCCGAACCGGGGTCCTCTGGCGTCCCAAGCCAGTTCTTAACCAACGCGCCACTCAGCCGGCCTTGTGTTGTACTTTTAATAGGCTCTTTAGCTATTCCTTAGGGTAGTACCAATGAGAATTATTTAAATTTGATTTGAATAACAAATATTTTGACATTTATTTTTTAATAAATTCATCTGGTTCTCCCTATTCAGTTAGTCTGAAAAGCTACAAAATAGAACAGCCTTTAAGTAAAACACAAAAAGATACTTTTGTATTATTCTTATGCCAAAATTTACTTTTCAACTGATTTAAAAATATTTTAAATTAAATTTTTGAGTAGGCAGTGTATTAAATCCAACAATATATAGGTATACTGTGAAAAGGTTCTCTTACCTATTCTTATCTGTTCTCTTCCTACCTCCATACACATTTGTCATTTTTTTGTGTCCTTTCAGAATTGTTTATGCAAATACAAACATGCAAATATTTATTCTCACATCTTTGAGAGCTGACACTACCAGTACTCGTTCTTTTTACAGCTGCTGTGTACTCTGTTGCATGTTTCTCACATAGTTTAATCTCTTATTCATGGAAATTAGGGTGTTCCCAATCTTTTACTATTAACGTACTCAAATAATCTTGTGTGTGTGTGTGTATATACATATATATACATGTATATATACATATACATATACATATATATGTATACACACACACACACACACACACACACACCATTCTGTACATGTGCAAATACACCCGAAGGACTTAAAAACCCAAAGTGGGATTCTCCCTCATAAAGGTTAGACTCATTTTTAGTCCCACCCACAGTGTATGAGATGTCCCCTTTTCCTCAGCTTTGCCAATAGAGTGTGTGTTCTCACGTTTTTGTTTGTGTAACAATTTATTTCTTCTCCTTAGAAACTTCAGGTTTTGTGGATAAACTATTTGAAAGTCTCTATACTAAGAACTACCTTCCACCTTTGGAACCAGTTAAGCCTGAGCCAAAACCACCAGTCCAAGAAAAAGAAGAAATTAAAGAAGAGGTAAAGCAAAGTTTTGTTTGCTTTGGGGATTTCTTAGATCCTATGATCAGTGTCATTCTTAGTTGGAAGTTGACGTCTTTAGATTAGAAGTGATTATCTATTGATTAAAGTTTGGGGCATGGTACAGATTCTTTATCGGGCTTCTTAGTTCCTTGGACTTGAAGAGATGGGAGAATTTCAGATAGCTTGTTTAGAGATCAAGTAATATTTTAGTAATACTGAGAAATTCAGAGTAATCTCATCCAATGACTTTTAGAAAAAGAAAACTTGGTTAAATATGGAGACCTGATTAAAGTAAAGTACTAATGAAACTTCAAGAGAACTCATTAGGTTACACATTTTCATGTAAATAGAGAAATGATTTCCTCTTTTTTTTACCATACAGAGTTTTTTGTAGTTAATGTAATTATAAACATCACACATAGGAAAGAAAAGGAAAAAAAATGTTTTTACAATGTTGAAATATAAAAATGTAATTATAGATGGTAACCTAATTGTTTGAACCAAGGAAGAAATTTTAAGTTCATTTGTAATACTTTTTACATATAGACAACAGTATTATATGAATATGGGTTCTAAAATCAGGCTGTATGAGTAAAAACAGTAGCTCTAAAATGAGTTACCTGTTTTATTTGTACATCAGCAAAATGATGGTTACAGTAGTATGTACTTCATCGAAGATTAAATGAGATTTTACATACACACCCCCATGCGCTCACACACACATCCTAATTCAGTCCCTGGCACATAAATGTTGGTTATTATACAGAAATATTTCTCAACTTTTATTTTTTTATAATAAACTCTTATTTGGGAGGCATTTTAAACTTACATAAAAATTACAAAAATAGTACCCCAAACAGCCATAGACCATCTACCTCGATTCACCTACTGCAGATTTGTCCCACGTACTCTATCTGTACACACCCAGAATTACTTTTTCTGAATCATTTGGGAGTAAGTCAGATATATCATGCCTTTGACGTCTAAATATTCTGTGTATTTCATAAGAATAAGAATATTCTCTTAAATAGCTATAATACCATTATCAGTTTCAGTGAATTTAACATCAATAAAATACTTTAATTTATTGCCGGTATTCCAATTTAGTCAGTTGACCAACAGTGTCCTTTTTTTTAGCTTGTTTTTTTCCTTTTCAGTACAGAATTCATTCTGAGTATCACAAACTGCACTTAGTTGTCATTTCTGATAACATTATTAAATGCTAGGCTAATTGAATTACAAAATGTAGCTGTACTTGATTGAGATCAGCTATCACTTTTTTGGTTTTGGCTCATGCCAGAATTGTCTCATAAGTGTTTTTTTTTTTTTTTTAAAATTTATTGGGGAATTGGGGGAGGGTAACAGCGCTGGGGAATCAGGGAAGGGGAACAGACAAGTTGCTGTCCTTTTGTTCTTCAGTCTGGTTGTGGAGGATGTTGCTTCACTGGCCCAAGTTGGCACCATCATTGCACTCTTCCTGTGAGAGGCAGATTAGTCGCTGGCCTCTGGACGGCCGCTTACGGCGGCTGCTGGCCGCTCACGCTGGCTGCTGGCTACACACAGTAGCCCATGGCAACCCACTGCAGCAGGGGCTGCAGCCTACGCCATCGCCGGCAACCAACGGCAGCCCAGCTCCAGGTCGAGCTATTGTTCAGCATCTTAGCTGTGGAGGGCAGTGTCACTGGCCCTCATATGTGGGATCCGAACCGGGGCCCTCTGGCATCCTAAGCCAGCTCTTAACCAATGCGCCACTCGGCTGGCCCTCATAAAGTCTTTTTAAAATAGGAGAAGTGTCTGTTTGAATGACAGCTAGGTTGAATATAAAAGAAATACTGCATTATCTTGAGTTTCGAAGGAAAAGTTCAAAAATTGTTGCATTATTTTATTTTGTATCTTTGTAGTAAACCCAGATTTTGAAAACTGCAAATTGGATATCAGCTTCTTTGTATTGTTACCCCCAAATGATGCTGTCTGGCATTTCTCCTGTTTTCTAAGACTTTTTTACATAACTTAATTTTTATTACTGACATGAATAATAGCTCATGTAATAGTGTATACATATTATAGTTTATAGTAATTCTGTTAGATCATGTGGAAGGAAAAGGGATTGAGGTAGTACATACCTTTGGCTAATTGTCCATTTTTTGGTCTGTGCTCAGTTGATGCAGTTGCTCTGAGCAGGGTACAGAGGAGCAAATGCATCTAAGGCTTAGCCATTTTACCTTTCAACCTTGGTTCTTAGCGACATTGTACCATCAGTTAGTTGTTTTACAATTAGACTGTTGGTCACAGGGAGAACCAGGTGAGAGAATGTGGATTGTTGGAACAACTCATCTTGGTGCTAGAAAAATACTTGGTTTATATGTATGTACCAGGATTTATGAAGCACAATGCATTTTATATAGTTAGAAAATTACTTGTAAATGTGCTGTAGTTATAATTGGCTGTTATTAAACCTCTTTATCCTATCTGCCTGAGTTCATGAACATGCAAAAGAGCAATCCATGAAGATAATAGATTTTTGGTACTAAAATTCCTTATTCACATTATACTATGATCATCTGGAATGTTAGAAGGCAGGTTTTCTTTGATCCAATGCATGGATTTATGACTACAAATATGTGAATCTCTTGCACAGTTTGTCCCCTCCTTTGGTTTGTCTGAAAATATTTTATTTCATTTTTATTTTTTAAAAGCCTGTTATTGAGAATTTTCAACATACATCAAAAGGAGACAGAGTGTTATAGTGAATTCCCATGTGTTCATCACCCACCTCCAGCAATCCAATCCATCAACCCAAGACCAATCCTGCCCCATCCACATAACTATTTAGTACACTTTTATATCTAAAATGGTCCAAGGGAATGGAGGCTGTTAGACTTGTGAAGCCATGCTAGACCAAGATAATAAATACCATAATTAAAACTTGTTAAACATGTGTAATGATCAGACTTCTAATAGATGTGAGGCAGAAAATTTTAAGTCAGGTGAACAACAAAGAAGAAAAACTTAAAATTAGTATGCCTGGTCAAAAATCTACTTTTCATATTCTTAGAATAGTAGGACCAAAGTAGGTAAGAGGTTTTGATATATAAAGTCTACGTATATATTACTAATTAAAGAAATATAAGGCAGTATAATGCCATGTAACTTATTTTAGAATAAAAGTGTAAAATAATTGTGGGAAAACATATCCTCATCACAGGAAATTCTAGAAATTGTATTTAAAACAGAAAAGAATACAGATTACTTTTGTTAACTTAGAAAGTTTTTATTATGAAAATATTTGAAAGAAGACATAATAATAATGAGCCCCCATGCACTCGTCATAATTATACATCCATGGCCAGTCATACAATTCACCTATTTAAAGCGTAAAAATGGTGATGGTTTTTATTGTATTCAGAGTTGTGCAATCATCACTGCAGTTCATTGTAGAACATTTCCATTATCCAAAAAAGAAACCCTGTACCCATTAGCCATTAGCTCCAAGCCCTCTCCCTACTCTCTCACTCCCCCTCCCCAGCCTTAGGCAACCACTCATCTACTTTGTCTCCATAGATTTGCCTATTCTGGATATTTCATATAAATGGCATTACACAATTTGTAGACTTTTGTGACTGGCTTCTTTCACTTAGCATAATGTTTTCAAGGTTCATCCAGGTTGTAGCATGTATCAGTAGTTCATTTTTTATGACTGAATAATATTCTACTGTATGAGTATATCATGTTTTCTTTTTGTTCTTTTTTTTTAGGTTTTTTATTGGGGAATTGGGGGAGGGGAACAGCGCTGGGGAATTGGGGGAAGGGGAACAGACAAATTGCTGTCCTTTTGTACTTCAGTTTAGTTGTGGAGGACGTGGCTTCCCTGGCCCATGTTGGTATTATCATTGCGCTCCTCCTGGGTGAGGCAGATCAGTCACCGGCCTCTGGATGGCTGCTCACGGCGGCTCTTGGCAGCTCACACTGGCTGCTGGCCACTCACGCTGGCTTCCAGCCACACACAGTAGCTTATGGCAGCCCACTGCAGCAGGGGCTGCAGCCTACGCCATCGCTGGTGACTTATGGCAGCCCAGCTCCAGGTCAAGCTGTTGTTCAGCATCTTAGTTGTAGAAGTGTCACTGGCCCTCATGTGGGATCCGAACTGGGGCCCTGCTGCTCAGAGCTGGCGTCCCAAGCCTGCTAGCTCTTAACCAACGTGCCACTCGGCCGGCCCTACATTTTCTTTATTCAGTCATCAGTTGATGGATATTTGGGTTGATAGGCAAGTGGTTAACACTTTTTGGCTATTGGGAATAATACTGCTGTGAACATTTATGCATAAGTTTTTCTGTGGCCTTACGTTTTTATTTCTCTAAGATTCTTTGACTTTTAAAGAATAGTTTTTCCCATTGATAGTTAACACATCAAAAAAAATCCTTGGAAAATGCAGAAAAGTAAAACATAGGAAAAAGACCTCCAAGTTGATGTCTTTTAACTCTCTCTTAGTCTTTAATTCCCCTCATCCCCAACACCTACCTATGTATCTCTCTTGTTCTTTTCCTCATCTGCCTCTTTTTTCCTTAAATTTTATCTCATTGAATAAACTCAGTCATTAGTCCTGTAGAGTCTTTTGCTATCTGGATTTTGCTGATTACATCCCAGTGGCGTAATATATTCTCTGTATTCCTGTAAATTGGTAGAGAGAATGATATTTAAACCTAGTCTAATGATTGTATAATGTTTTGGCCAGCACCATAAGGTTGCCATTTGTGGCTGCCATTTTATGTTGCCTGAGTTTTATTAAATTGTTATCTCCTGTTCCATTCACGCATTTCCTGATTTGAGGTCATTAGATGGGTGTTTGTTCAGTTCTCGCAAATGACTTTATTTCACCTTTCTTTAGTAAAGGCTATCTATTTGTTTTGTGATTAACTTCTGTTTAAAAACAATAATAAAATCACTAGCTCTCTGTTTTTGCTTAGTCTTGACTGTTAGGCTTTAAAAGAAGCCTTAACATTTCCGTTAATTCCAATACCATTTTCCATAACTCACAAGAAACAGTTTTATAGTGTTCGTTAACTAACCCTTTGTTCCTGAAACCTTTTCTGAAATAAATCTAACGTCCGCCTCAAATGAATTATATGTGTGAGTATATTTTATGATAAGGAAACAAGTTATTTTACTATATGATACTTAGAAATAGAGATTTGTTATTTCTACTGTTTGAATTTAAAGAATAAATTGCTGTTTCCCACCTACACTGCTATTCTCTACCTTATATTAACATGCAAAACATAACATCAACATCTTTTTTTATTTTTCCCTATTGCCAAACTTTTTTTGATGTGATTCTTTTGGGGGGGGGGTGGAATTTGACTTTAGTATTTGTTTGTTTATTTGTGCCCTCTTTGTGCCAGAAAGATGATCAGGCAGATGTGTTTTATAATTTATAGAAGGACTAATCTTGTTTCTAATGAATGATTTCATATAGGTATTTCAGGAGCCAGCAGAGGAAGAACGAGATGGCAGAAAAAAGAAATATCCCAGTCCCCAGAAGACTCGTTCAGAATCTAGTGAACGAAGGTTCGTGTTTATCTTTAATCAGGAAGACATTGATAGCTCACTTTTCAGTTACCTTACAAGGGCATTAAAGGGACTTTCAAAATATGCAGTGACTTCTCTCTGAACTGATTAAAGAAGGAGAATGTTACCTTTCTTCCTTCCATTCTCCCTGTTTGTCTTTGTCATACTTTCTGTTCTTTTTATAAACAATCATCATTATGTGCTTTCCCCAAGAGCGCAGGGGTGGGAGCAGTCTCCTTAGAGAATAATAATGAAATGTTCCATTTGGTTAGGGGTGCTTAGTATTAAAATCATTTCTAGTATTTTATATTACAAGTAGTGCAATGTATATGTTGAACCATCAGCTTCCATTAAAAAATTAGTCTTTGTCTAGCAAAACTTTGTTTTGAGCCTTTTTCTTTTCTAGTTTTAAATACCTGTTTTTCCCCCTCCTCCTCCCCAGACTTTGGATTCACCTCTTTTTTTCACTTCTCCCGACCCAGTGTGCTTGAGGGAATGTTGTTTCTTTTTATAGAGGAGAGTAGACCAATTATATGGTGGTCTTATGGCTTTCTAAAAAAGCACAGATACTATGAATTTTGATGAATCAAGGAGGATATTTCATGTTCCCTATTTGTTTGCAGACTTGGTTTCTATAGTGTCCATATGGCTTTTATATCTGTGTATTACAGGACACGTGAGAAGAAAAGAGAAGATGGCAAGTGGCGAGACTACGACCGGTACTACGAGCGGAATGAACTGTACCGGGAGAAGTACGACTGGAGAAGAGGCCGGAGTAAGAGCCGGAGTAAGAGCCGAGGCCTGAGTCGGAGTCGAAGCCGGAGCCGGGGGCGCAGCAAAGACCGGGATCCAAACAGGAATGTTGGTGAGTATTACAGATGAGGCTTCCCCCTAAAAGCTCTGTGGTTGCTTACCTTCCTATATCACAAGAGTACCAGAACTGCCCTTAAAGGTAGATGTACCTTTAATATGTCTGAGCAATGGAAAATCTGGAATTGTCTCCAAAAACATAGCGATTTTGTTACAAAGACAGGGCTTTATTTTTGGGATGCAGTTCAAAGGACTTTCACTAAAAAGAAGCTATATAAGTGTATCATAGTATGTACATGTCTAGACTTAAGTCATTTGTATAATTGAAACAAGTGTTCCTTTAATCAACAAAGCTATCACTGGAGGAAGAGGATTGCCTGCCCCTTCTCAGTCAAGGAAGAACTGATTTGCTTTAAGGTTGCCTAGAATTTATAAAATTTAAAGGAAAAAGATTTAAGTAGATTATTGGGTTCCCAACCACTGATCTCCTGAGATATTAGTTTGGGAGTCAGTTCTTGGATAGCATTTTTATTAAATATCAGTGGAGAAGTTGGCCTTTCTTCATTATGTATTGATGTTGGTGTTATAAAAGATGATTTTACACAAGTTATTGGTCAAGATAAATCACACTGTTGAAGTTCCTGCTTTTAGGATATATTAATAATGAGAGCACTTTAAAATATGGATAGCTCAGTAACTTTACTTCAGTATTCTCATTTCAATATCCTGTTTTGAAATTCAGAAAATAAACAGTTTAATAATACATGTCTGATCTTGTTTCGTGTTTTTCTTTTGTCCCTAAAGCAGAGCATAGGGAAAGATCCAAGTTTAAGAGTGAAAGGAACGACTTGGAGAGTCCGTACGTGCCTGTGTCTGCACCACCTCCAAACTCTTCTGAGCAGTATTCCTCGGGGGCACAGTCTATTCCCAGCACTGTTACTGTGATCGCACCTGCGCACCACTCGGAAAACACAACAGAGAGCTGGTCTAATTACTATAATAATCATAGCTCTTCCAATTCTTTTGGTCGAAACCCACCACCAAAGAGGCGATGCAGGGATTATGACGGTAAAAATTCTCTTTCATGTTGTACCCAGAAGTACTGGTAAAGCAGATGTGGCTAATATTGCACACCTTTTTATTGTAGCTCAGATTTTATTAAAAGGGATGAAGGTGGAGGTGGCTCTCTTTTGGCATACGCTTATTTACTTGTTTGATTCAGTAGTTTGGCTCTTATTAAGAGAATGTTCAGATTTGACCCTTTATTTTTGTTGTTCTTGTTACTACAAACACTATGCGTATACCACACATTTGGCACACACTAGGAATTATAATTTCTTTGTGTGGAGTTTAGTGCTGGGAATTTGTTATTTGCTGACTTTCCAATTGAATGAATGAATCAGTATGTATATGTGTGTATTTATTTTAACTTTTTGTTATGGAAGTATTTAAATACTTATAAAAGTTGGCAGATAATATAATTAACCCTAGTGTATCCATGATCTCACACCAACAATGATTAACTCATGGGCAATCTTGTTTTCATTTATATTCCCAACACTTCTCCCTGGCCTATATTATTTTGAAGCAAATTGCAGATGTTAGAAAATTTTATTTATATATATATATATATATATATATATAAATATATATATATATATATTTTTTTTTTTACATTTTTTAAGTTTTTAAGTAGGGACTAGAATCAAATCATAATTCAAGCATTACCTCACTTTCACCCTGGCCTCCCAGCCACAGAGATCTCCTTCTCAGGGCCAAGTTAATGTTAATCAATTTCTTGTATCTTTCCAAACATAGTCTCTGCATATGTATATAAACAAACACTTTCTTTTTTACATAAATGTTAGTATACTATTCACATTCTTCTGCATAATGTTTTTTCACACTTAGCAGTATTTCCTGGCAGTCATCTTATATTAATACATAAAGAGCTTTCTCAATATTTTTTTAGGCTTTTTAGTATTGTATAAGTACAAAAATATGTTTAACCTATTTGTTATTGGTGCACTTTCTAATATTTTGCTGTTAACAAAGAATGCTGCAGTGAATAACCTGGTACATGATGCCCACTCGAATATTTTAAACTAAAGTTACAACTTGTAGGTATAGCAAGAATGGTTGCTTTATAATAATATGGAAATAGACAGTGGAAATTATATCATCTAGTTCAAGTCCCTTATTTCCACCCACCCCAAGCCTTTGTTAAATTGGTATTTGTTTAAAATACCTGAATTCTTATTATGGAAACTTCATACCAAATGGGTGAATAGTAGTTAGTAGCCTATTTGACTCTGTTATTTGCTAACTCAACAAATTGTGATCTCGTGGTGTAGAAAGTGGGGTACACCTGCCCTGACCTCAGGGATATGTGATGATTAACAGGATAACACCAGAGGGGGGTTTGGACTCCTTGGAGAAAAAACACTTTGTAAATCAGATTGGTGGGTTTATCAGTGACTTTTGTTTATTTTCTGAACTCGAAGTGGATCATAGTAAGATTCTTCTTGTATTCTTTCAGAAAGAGGATTTTGTGTACTTGGTGACCTTTGTCAGTTCGATCATGGAAACGATCCCCTGGTTGTTGATGAAGTTGCTCTGCCAAGCATGATTCCTTTCCCTCCACCTCCTCCTGGGCTCCCTCCTCCACCACCTCCTGGCATGTTAATGCCCCCGATGCCAGGCCCAGGCCCGGGCCCAGGTCCCGGTCCAGGCCCAGGCCCAGGCCCAGGTCCAGGTCCTGGCCACAATATGAGACTTCCTGTTCCCCAAGGACATGGCCAGCCTCCACCTTCTGTTGTGCTTCCCATACCAAGTAAGTACATGCTCACTGAATATTTATTTCTTTAGTACAGAATTATATTTGGAAGCCATTCTTTTCAGCTAACTTGTCACTAGATTTAGTTTTTGAAAAGGAAATTAATAATGGAATTTGGAATATATTCCTATAATTAAGATGCTGTTTCCTTTTTTTTCATCCATTGTTGCATTGCATTGTTTGTAGTACCTCCAAGTGTAAATTTTATCAATAGTGGCCTAACCTATATTGACCTGGAGTCAAAATCTTGCTAGTTGAGAGCGTCTTAAGGAAGCCAGTGTTTTGAAGATGTCAGAAAAAAGAACTTGCCAGCAGTTTAATGAAATTTCCCAGTCTTTAAAGAAAATTTCTTCAAGAATATTGAAATAATTTTTAAAACCTTTTATTATGGGAAATTTCAAATATACTCAGAGGTAGAATAATAATATATGTACCTCATGTACCATCATCCAATTTCAATGGATTATTAATATTGAGTTGTTTTTGTCTCATTTATTCCCCCCCCACCCCACACTTTTTTTTGGCTTGTTTATTTTTGCTGGAGTAAATGTCAAGTGTCACATCATTTTATCAGTATGTAGTTCATTGTGAATCTCTTCACTGATAAGGACTGTTTTTGTTTGTGTGCTATTACCACATACACCAAAATTAAGAGTAAGAAATGTCTAAAATGATCATTTAAAAAAACTTAAGGGCCGGCCAAGAGGCTCAGTTGGTTAAGCGCTCACTCAAGAGTGTGAGCTCTGAGCAACAGGGTCACCGGTTCAATTCACGGCCCGAGCTGAGCTGCCGCTAATTGCCAACAGGTGGCAGGATGGCTCAGCTAAAAAATATGTGTGTGTGTGTGTGTGTGTGTGTGTGTGTGTGTGTGTGTGTGTATATACATATATATATATATATATAAAATTTAAAAACTTAACATTGTATGGTAGCTATGTTTTTTAATAAAAAAATAAAAAACAGTTGCTAGTTTATCAGAAACAGAAGTAAGACTAAATTTTTTTAAATAATTAAAAAAATTTTTAATTACAGTTGACATACAATATTATATTAGTTTCAGGTGCACCACATAGTAATGAGACGTTTATATAACTTATGAAGTGATCACTCCAACCCACCTGACACCATTCATATTTAAGACTAAATTTTTTAAATGTAATTGAAAAAAAATTATGGGGTGGAGAGTTTACATGTGTGCAAAGACATAAGAAAATATCTACTTGATGACATTTAACATTGCTAAGGGATTGCAAATTATTTTAAACAGGTTGTCATTCAGTTTAAGTTGTATTTTTTTCAATTTTTTTTTAACTTTTTACTTTTGAAATTATTATAGATTCACAAGAATTGCAAAAATCATTTAGCATGATCCTGTTTATCCATCATTTAGCTTTCCTATAGCAACATTCTTTATAAAACACATTAAAATTGATAAAAGTTTTGAGATATTTAATGCATACATTTGGTCAGTAGAAATATGACTCTTTTAACTTAGCATTTGTGAATACTTAATATTGTCACATAAATGGTATAATTGTAAAGCTCAAGTTGAGGTTTTACTCCCAGGTTAAAAAGTACCTTCATGTGTAGTAATTCTCATAATAAATGTTATCACAGGATGGGAACATACCTTTTTAAAAGTTAAAGTTAAATCCAAGAATGTCATTTGCCCCCAGCATTTTGCTGTGAAAATTTTTAAGCGAACAGAAAAATTGGAAGAAACTGACCACACAAACTCACCACCTACGTTCTACAGTTAACATTTTACTGTAGATACGTATTATCACATATCTTTTCACCTCTCCATTTTTATTCTGGGTGGTATTTTACAATACGTTACAGTCATTAGTACACTTAAACATGTTTATCATTAACTTAAGAGTTCTGTAGAACTTTACCATCATCCCAAAAAGCTTGTTCAAGTCCCTTCCCAGCCATTTTCCACTCCCACCCCTCGGAGGTAACCAATTCTGTTTTTTTCACTCTAGATTAGTTTTGTCTATTCTAGAACCTAAAATGTCGTTTTAATTAATTATATAACTCACAGTGCTTAAGCCTGCATATTATCAAATTCCTTAATTCTGTTTAATCCAAAGTAGGTATTTTAAGTATGAATGTCCAAATTAGTACTTTTACAGTGACTATTTTTATTAGGAAATATTAGTGCTCTATCTTTTTATTTTTTGTTATCTGTAGGACCACCCATAACACAGTCAAGCTTAATAAATAACCGTGACCAGCCTGGGACAAGTGCAGTGCCCAATCTTGCACCAGTGGGAGCAAGACTACCTCCTCCTTTACCCCAGAACCTCCTTTATACAGTATCAGAACGTAAGTAAATGTTGTTTTGATTTAAAATTGCTAAGGGTATAGAAAAGCCAAGCTTTCCCATATCAGTGTTATACTTTTTAAAATACAATTAATTTCTATTCTTGTGGACTGTGCTATATAAAAATTATATTTGTATTTACAAGGCAGTTTACTATGTGTTTATGCTATATAGCCATATTATGTGTGATAAGGAGAGAAGGGCAAGGCCTTCTGTTTCAGAGAAGTTGACTATAGAGTTAGCAGCATTTAGTCTCCTCTGAAGGGAATTTATTTTGAAGCCCCTATTAAATTGTTCCTCCAGTTGAATTCCCAAAACATAAGGTTTATTATGTCCTAAGTATACAAAGGTTGGATAAAATGTACCTAATAATTATTGAACTTGTATGCTGAAGTGAAGATAGCATCATTTACACTGTAATATTTAGTGGTTAGGCTATTGGTGACATTTATGTTTAACTGTAATAATGTTTTTCTTGACTCCTAATAATTTTGTATTTCTCAGGAGTCTTTTTGTTGTTTTTAGTTTACTAAGGCTTTTTAAAAAATTCCTTTCTCCAAAAATATAAAAATGAGGTAGTTGGTTGTTAAAAATGTTAGATGGTGAGATTTTCTTTACAGAACCAAGTAACTATGGATAAATTTATTTTTTGTGTATCATAAACACTTTTTCATCTCTGTCATGTTATGGAGAGGCAGTTCAGTGACATGATTAATTAAGCTCAGGTTCAAATCCTGGTTTTGTCACTTACTGTCGTTATGACTTGGGCAAGTTCCTTAACCTCTCTATCTCAAATTTCTGTACTGTGAAATGGAAATAATAATATTAGGCACCTTATTAAGGTTGTTTTAATAAATGAATTAATACATATAAATCATCTAGAGCAACACCTGGCATCTAGTAAGCTATGTATAGGGATTAGTTATTAGAATATTGTAGTTGTCATTGCTTCCTTAAACTTGAGCCACTCTGAAATCACTGTTGCCTTCTGCTTAAGTTTCTACCTCCACCATCCTTATTTGTCAGTGGAAATAACACCTAATCACCTGGAATTAAAGCCTTGACATGACTCTTATTGCTTTGCTTTTTTATATGTAATTAATGAAAATATTCTTTCTCTTTTTTCTGTGAAGTATCCCTTTCTCTGTATTCTTATTATGGCTTCTGCACTCATCTACCCTTGAATCACCTCACATTTGGATTACTGTTACTTTTCTTGACTCTATTATGTTTCGCCCCCGAAGTCACACCACATAATGTTGCTAAGCTAATTTTCCTGGGAAAACCAACATTGAATTCCTCCTGAGAACTCTTCAGTGGCCACTTGTTTCCTTTGAAACCATAGATGAACTTCTCTGTGTGGCTTCTAACTCTATAACTTACCCCTCCCTTCTTGGTAATGGTTTTTCGCTGTTTCCCAACATGCACCTTCTTTGGTCAGGCCAGTTATGCCATCTGTGCCCGTCGTGACTCAACTTTCCTTTCCTATCTTCATTCCTGGCAATGTGCTCTCCTATTCTTTTAAAGCCCAAATTTTCTAAGTACACAGGAACCATTTTGTCTCTGTTCTAAACTGCTACAGTACCAAAAAACATTTATTACATGATGATACAATTGTATATAGACCTACTGTTTGATTTCCTTTCGTGTATGTAAATCTTATACTCAACTGAGCTTCTTTAGAACAGAAACCATATCTGATACTTAATTGTTTTTCCTGTTTCACACTTACTACTTCAGTTTTCTAATTATAGTGTCTTTTTATAGTGCATGTTTGTTTTGCTGCATCTCATTATTTAATTATGGGACATTTCAAACATACATAAAAATACAGAAGATATTATAATGAACTCCCCATCACTCAGTTTCAATCTATTCCCCCCAGATCAGCTCTTAACATTATTTCTTAATATTGTTGGACTTGTAAATATGAAAAATGGATGCTTTATGTGAGAACTGAGCCTGTTAGAGAGCGCCGAATCCTAACCACTAGACAACCAGGGTGAGCTTGTTAGAGATGGCACATTTTCATACTATTAATTTTAGCTTTGTGACTCACAATAAAAGTTTCATTTTTTTAAATTTTTTTTAAAAATCTGTCAATTACCATTTATTTTAATATTGTTAAATTTAACAGTATGACTATAAAAATTTCATTTTGATTTTAATTTTTAAAAAATCTGACAGTTACCATTTTATTGACTCAGCTTTTAATATTCATTAATTCAGCAAATATTTATTGAGTGTCTACTATGTGCCAGGCATTGTGCTAGACACAAGGGAGCCAAAATGAATAAGATGTCTGACCTCATTTTACTTGAAGACGATTTTTCTACTACTTTTAAAAGTAAGAATATATTCTGGGGCCGGCCGAGTGGCTCAGTTGGTTAAGAGCTCGCTCAAGAGTTTGAGCTCTGAGCAACAGCGGTTCAATTCTTGGCCCAAGCCGAGCAGCCGCTGAGCTGCCAACAGTTGGCAGGATGACTTAGCTTAAACAAACAAAAAGAAAGAATATCTTCTGGTATGTCAGTAAAGGCCTTTTAGAACAGAAATTCCAAATTGTTTTTCAGAGGCTGGTAACATTTCTAAGAAAACTTTGGGGACCAGAATAGTTAGCAACTTCTTATTTGCTACGTGAAGGACTGTATATGAAAATATCTAATATTTCAATTTTAAAAATACATTTTTACACCACAAAAAGACAGTATCAAAATGAAGGACAATCCTTGTATATTTGATTTTATGAGATATTAGGTACATTTTTTCCCATTTTTGTCTCAGACCAATAAAAGGTAATAACTTCCCTTTGGTATTTGTGAATACTGCTTTAGATGATAATTTTATATGCTATGTGAATGTTTGTAGAGGTTTATTGTAGTTCGTTGGTAGCTGAATATTTCAAAAGTTGGAAAATATTCATATCAAACAATTTATTTTTTTTCTTTAATTTTTTTTTTATTTAAGATTTTTATTGGGGAATTGGGGGAATGGGAACAGTGCTGGGGAATTGGGGAAGAAGAACAGACAAGTTGCTATCGTTTTTGTTCTTCAGTCTAGTTGTGGAGGACATTGCTTCACTGGCCCAAGTTGGCACCATCACTGTGCTCTTCTGGGGCGAGGCAGATCAGTTGCCGGCTTCTGGACGGCCGCTCACGGCGGCTTGAGAGGGCCGCTCACACTGGCTGCTGGCTACACACGGTAGCCCATGGCAACCCACTGTAGCAGGGGCTGCAGCCTACTCCGTCGCCGGCGACTCACGGCAGCCCAGCTCCAGGTTGAGCTGTTGTTCAGCATCTTATCTGTAGAGGGCAGTGTCACTGGCCCTCATGTGGGATTCGAACCGAGGCCCTCTGGCGTCCCAAGCCAGCTCTTAACCAACGCGCCACTCGGCCAGCCCCATATACCTTTTTAAATCAACTATTTCCTCTGAAGTATTTAAACATTTTAACTTAATTTGAGGTCATCAATTCAGTGTATGTTTTTTTTTTTTGTTTTTTTTCACAAGACCTTTTTTAAGTATACTGTTTCTGCCTTAAATTTGGGCTGTTTCTTTTGCTTCTTTGAAGAAGACATAGCAGAAATGTTTTATAACTGCTTAGTTCATGTACTGGGTGTGTGGAAAAGTAATAGTACAGTGTAACACCCTACAGTCTAGAGACTGATTCTTAGTTTGAAGGTAGTTGTCAATCTTCAAATGAGTTTACATAAATTATCTTTATTTTTCTGAAAATACATTTTCTATTACCAGCTATGTAAAATTATTCAAACACTGTATTTCTGAACTTGAGATCCCTCATTTCTGTGGAATGCATAACATTTTTCTCTGTACAGAATCATAGATTTTGATTTTTAGAGAAGTGAATTAGTCTCTAAGCAGAAGCATTGTATATTGACTAGAGTTTTTCTCCACTTGAATCTTCCTTGGACTTGTGTTGCATAAGTTGTCATTTTGTCCATTTCAACATGAGATACTCATCCAAAGAAGAAATATTTGTCATTGTTTTAATAAAAAAGCTTTCATCCCTTCTTTAAGTGACTCTTTATAGAGTTCCCACTATGCCCCAGGCATGGTGGAGGTCCTGGAACTTCAGAAGGTGTGCCAGGGAACTTGGGTTCTAATAGAGGAGAGACATGATAAATATGGCTGATATTTGGAAGGTATAACTTTATATTTTTTCTAATTGGGCTTTTAGTTTAAAACTTACCTTAGGATTTTTTTAAATGTGAATACTGGTAAAGATTAAATCAGGAAAATTACAAAGAGTAGGTAAAATTTTAGTTTGAATAAAGATGATCTTCAGCTGACTAGAGTTAACAATATGAATGTAAAAATGTTGCTAATCAGACATGTAAGATATATGAACAACTTAAGATAGGAACATGAACTTGGTACTTTTGAAATTTGGAATTATCCAGTCACACTCTGCATTGACCAAAACTAAACTGAATGAATATAAGTCATGAATGGCTCATCTTCACCATTATTGTAACCTGTTTGATTTTTAAAACTATTATGGAAATTTTCAAATATACACAAACGGAGAGCAAATACTATAGTAATCTTCATGTACTCATTTACCGGCTTCAGTGTTTATCAACATACGGTTAATCTTGCTTTATCTATAACTCAACCCAGACTTGAGTATTTTAGAACAAGCCCCAAACATAACATTTCACCTGTAAAAACTTAAGTATCTCTAAAAGGTAAGGATTAAACACACACAATCACAATACTTTATCACAGCCCCCAAAAAGTTTATAAGTTTACTGTTGTCACATATCCAGTCAGTGTTCATATTTCCCAACTGTATCATAAATGGTTTTTTACAGCTGATTCATTTGAAGCTGGATCTAAACAGGTTACACATTACAGTTAGTTCCTTAAGTCTTCAAATCTGTAACAATTTCCCTTACCTCTTTTTTTCCCTTTTGATGTTTATTTGTTGAAGAAACAGGTCATTTGTCCTGTAGCATTTTTTCACATTCTGGACTTGGCACATTGCATCTCCTGGTGTCATTGAACACATTCCTCTATCCCCTGTATTTCTTGTAAATTGTTAGATCAAGAGACGTAATTAGATTCACATTTGGCTTTTTCTTTTTTTTGTTTATTTTATTGATGGGGTTAAATCCTTCCTTCTGCAGTACATCATGTACATAATATCGAGTTGTCTCCTTTCTGATTTATGAAAACTGATCAATGTGTGCAGGTGTTTGCATCCTGATCATCCATTTTAAAAGTTGCTCTTGGTTTCAGGAGCCATTGTGATTACTGCCTAGACGTGTTGTTTCATTAGAGGTTTTAAAAGTGTGATATTCTAATTCTATTAATTTATATTTCTTGGCTGGCATTTTACAAAGTAAAACTCGGTAGTATTTAGTTAGCCTGAAATGCAATTTTTACGGGAAAGACAGAATAAATGCGTGTTTCCTTTCACTTATCAGTTTTCAGAATAATGAATTAGTTTCCTAGTATCTTCCAAAGGGGACCACTGTGTTGTTTTTAAGCATCAAGATGAACTCATGGATTTTTAACATGTTTGATAGGTTTCATCCCCTTAACAGCACTTTTTGACATCCAGATTGTCTCATCTTTAACCAGTGGGGGTCTCTTCATGTTTCTTGTTGGCTTCTGCAGGTGGTTTTGTTTTGTTTTTGACATGCTAGTGTTGGTAGCCCTCTTGCTTCTGGAAGGACAAGGTGTACGCTCATCTGCCCAGATCTAGAGTCAGCCTTTTACCTAAAGAACTGTTTCTTTTTGAAATAGTATTTAGAGACCTTAGTAGGTAGGTATTGTTGAAGAAAATTCTGCTTCATCTGAATAAACAGCCATCTTTCTGAAAGTATTTGAAAGCATGTTCTTTGTTATTTGTTTTAAGAAGACATTGTGTCAACTAGCCTGTTAGTTTCCAGTTTACTTTGAGATAGTTATTGATTAAATATACTGGTTACATTGAGTGCTATGTCATAAATGTAAACTAGTCATAGGGACTGAGCTTGTACTCGCCGCTTTTCTCTTTAGCACACTGCTTCATTCTGCAAGAAATTCTCTGCAGCAGGTCATTCTCACAACTATTTTCAGATCTCTGAGGATGTGTTAAATTGTTTTTGCAATATAATGATTGATCCTTTCCTGAGTAAATTTGAAAGGATTGGTGCTGAGCGCACAGTATGTAGTCTGCTGTACAGTGTGATCAGTCGCCTCCTCCTTTGTTCCATACACAGGAACAGAAGGGGAGTCAAGTTCAGCACAGCTGTTTCCCCTCTGTATTTACTGTGAAATCAAGTGGTTGCTCTGTGGCTTGTCCTGTTAAGGTGTCTTAAAAATACTTTGGAATTTTACAACTTTCAAGGACATCTCATTAGTTATTATTTTGTCTTGTATCATCACATAGTGAATGTCTGACTTTAGATAGAAAATATTGAATAAACCTTATAAATAGGTCTCTCATGGGGTAGTCAGTGAAAGATACTATTAAATGACCAACCAAAGGGAGGTTTTGTCTTTTTTAATCTTATTCTACAAAATTTGGGTTCATTGTATCTGACATTCTGGCATCTAAACGTGCTTTCTTTCAAAAAGTGTTCTTAATATCTGAGATAATTTTATGTGTACAGTGGCTGGTCTGTTTTTCTGGGGTTTTATCCTGTTTTTTCTTTATATTTGTTATTCACCTGCTCATGGGATAACAAATTTTCACTCTTAATTTTTTTCTTTTGAACATTTCTTATTCTCTGTGAGGTTATATTATGCTTGTGGTGATGTTTTTCTTTTTCTTTTTTTTTTTTAGTTCTTTTGTTATTTTTTCTGTTCCCAGATATGGGAGTGTATTTTGTGCCGACTTGAAATTATGTGAGTTTGAGGAGGAATGTTTTTGTTTTCTAATGGATGTGACAGCCTATATAACCATATGTCTCATTGGATGCAAAAATCTACATGAATAGCAGCTCAGGGTTCCTTGATCTAATCATTTGGCGTGGTTGATTGTTCAGTTTTCAGTAAAATTAGCACATAGTTATTTCACTTAGTCTTATAAAAGATGAAGATTATGCAGTCATAGTACCTAATTCTTATGCCTCAGTGCATCCTAACCAGTTTGCGTGTCTGTTTCTTGAGTTAGAATCTCAGTAACAACTTTCTCAAATACTGTTCCTATTGGTGTACTTTCTCTGTTCTTGGCTCAAGTCTCAGGAAGTACACCATTACTTAAGAGAAGCTTGTGTCTCTCAATCCCAGCTGCCCTCTTGTTCTTTCCTCTATAGGACAGCCCATGTACTCTCGTGAACATGGTGCCGCTGCATCTGAGCGACTTCAGTTGGGGACACCGCCTCCTCTGTTGGCAGCTCGTTTGGTGCCACCTCGCAACCTCATGGGATCCTCCATTGGGTACCATACCTCAGTCTCCAGCCCTACCCCCCTGGTCCCAGGTAAGCTTTGCTATGGATGGCCATCCACCTCTCTGACCTTTTGTACCACAAGCTGGCCAGCCTAAGGAATGACCTGGTATCCTGATCTGTCACATAGTCTGATTAAAGCTCTCAGATAGTTTTTGGTTTTTTTCTGTTTCTCTGCTTCATTGGTTTGTCCCTAGTGGCTGCTAGATGATTAGGCCTCCTGTGTGAATACCATCTCTGGTGTCTCTGTATTTACTTTCAGTGCCTCGGTAACAAAAGCCATTCCTTAAACTAGTTTCTAATCTGATAGCTAGGAAGAGAAGATCTATTTGTGTGTTCTCTAATCAGTTATATATTATAAGAAAAATTAGGTTAATTTTGCTTCAAAACAAAAACATTTGGTTTCTTGCTGATCATGGATAAACGTCTTTTTTTCCTCTCTGCCCATTGTTGTAGGGACTGGCTGGATAATGGAGTGATTTCTTGAAAACCCTTATCCTATTGACATATACATTTTGAACATCTACCGAGTGCTTTGTGGATGTCTCAGGAAGTTTTTAATATTTCTCACTTTGCCTTTAGATCTCAGTTCACCATAATTAACTAAAGGACTTTGAAGTTTCTTGGATTCTATTTATTCCCAGGAGTTATAGAACAAGTTCTTTTGATTATGTAACTTTTAAAACTTTTGGCAACCTTAACGATAGATTTTCTGTCTAGAGTCACAAGAGGCAACTGAAAATTTTTTAACTATAATTTGATGATCTCATACTCTGAATCATAGAACTGATTGGCCAATGATAAAGACCTTATCTTGTAGCCATAAAGTATTTTTCCGTTAAGGCAAAAAAAGAGATGCAAGGACTTAAAAATCACAATTGCGAAAATCAGTGCCTTCCCTCAATATTAACCCTTTCATTTTATGGAGGATGAAGAGCATATATACTATTTGGAGATCAACACATTTAGAATTTTTGTTAGCACTAACAAAATAGTTATATAGCATTAGAATTTTAAAAATTAAAATTTATTTGTAGAGAAAACATAGGGGACATGATAAAAGTGGCATTGATGAGGTGGGTGGTAGTAAGATAATGATTATATTGATAAATATAAAATTTATCTTACTTAGCTGTTTGAAATAAAACACTTAAAATGTGCTTTATGTATGAAACTAGCTATTATCTCTTCAGTTTAAAGTGCAGATAACCTAATGAATAGGTTGATTTTTACCCCCTAATTAAAGAGTACTTAGAAATTGGTGAGACATGGTAACAGAGGAAACTCAACCAGTCCTTTATATAAGGTGTTCCATGTATGTGAAAATTTGTCTTAAAAATGTGCATTGAAGATTGGATTGGGTGATTAATATATAGGGTAAAAATGACTAGTTAAATGAATCTAGAAATATATCAGCAATTAAGAATGGATTTGTGTATCTATGTTTTGTGATGCAGCATTTTTATTTCACTTCCAATAGGTGTATCTATATACTGAAACTCAAAAGAGAAATATGTATGGATTGATATATTTGTTGAAGATAATTCGTTTTTGCAGTTATAGTAATGAGAAATTTAAATACTCTGATTTGTTATGTGTTTTGTTGTTTTATTTTCCCTCAGATACATATGAACCAGATGGTTATAATCCAGAAGCTCCTAGTATTACCAGTTCTGGTAGATCTCAGTACAGACAGTTCTTTTCAAGAACACAGACCCAGCGCCCTAACCTGATTGGCCTAACATCTGGAGATATGGATGCAAATCCCAGAGGTGAGAGCACCTCTTTTGTGCTGCTATGTTATACAAGAGTTGGATATAACATTTCTGATCTCACTAAGGTCTTAAAAGTACTTACACACTATCTCTGAAGGGTGCTCTATAATCATCTCACATGTTTTTGAATAACTTTACTTCCAAATTTTAAAGTTGTAGCTAGAAAGTGTTTTTAAGTAAAAATAATACTAATGTATTTAATTGCTTTTTTGTAGGACTTCAGGCTGTTTTAGCTATGTACTAGTCACTGTGCTAGATATTAGGTATAGAAAGATGAAATGACATGGTCCCTTGCCCTCAAAGAACTGATCATTTAAGGGCCTACTTTGTATAGTAAAAGCTGTGTTTTGCACTAATGGCAATTGAAAACCGAAGACATTGCAATAAAATTATTTGACCATTTTTCGTGTTTATGATCACAACTATGTGTTAGGACCTTTACAAAGCATAGTCACAAACCTTAAAAGATTAAATGCAAGCATTTACCTTCAGTGTGGGTTGATACCTTTCTTTTCCTTTCCCTCAAAAAATTAGGTCAAGAATTTGGTGAGATTTCAATTTATTATTACAGTTAGATTTCTAATAGTAACCGTTGATTTGAATGACTGGTCATGGGCCATCCTTACAGTATTTTTCTAATTTAATTATATGGTGAACATTTTCCTGTTCTTTCCTATCCTGATTTTATTAACTTTTCTTCACTGTCACTAATAACACTATTACCACTACAGGCCAACAGTTTTGTTTTGACTAAACCAAATGCTCTTATGTGTATTATTATCTTTCATATTCTTTACCAACACCTTCTTAAAAGAGGTACGATTTTTATTCTCTTTTTACAGATAAAAACACAGGCTTAGAGAGGTTAAACCACTTGCCCTAAGTCACACAGCTATTAATGACACCTGGAATTTGAACCCAGGTCTCTTAGTTCCAAAGAATATGCTCTTACCTTCTATGCTATAAAACACACATTGTTACCCTAAAGTACCTGAAATTAGTAGGAAGATCATATTCTTAGAATTTCAGGTCTTCCCTTCATCACTAGGCTGGTCCGTCTGTACATTAATGCACAGTAATTCATTAATCTTTCTCATTGTAGAAGTTCTGTGGTTTTATGCAACAGTTGCTTTACCATCTTGGGCAAGTCACTTAACCTTCAGCTATCTCTCTCTCTTTTTTTTTATATAAAGCACTTCAGGAAAGAAAAGCATTAGGCAGTGTCAGGTGGTAATGATAACTATTTTAGGGAAGACATAATGGCATCTCAGATTCTAGAATGCTTTAGATCATCACTGTTGCTCTCTTGTCCATTATCCTCTGAAAACAAGGGCAGGGATCATATTTATTTTACTCACTCATTTATACCCAAGGTACAATACAGATGGGCTTTAGCAGATGCTCAAGAAATACATGTGAAATGAATGAATCTGCATCATAATTTTCCTGTCACACAGATGAAATGCAACATACCACCCCCACCGCCATTCTTACCTCAGCATCCAGTTCTACATGTTATTATTTGCTGCTAATTTACTTTTGGTGGGGTTGCTAAAGTTAGGGAGAATACTCAAGAGTTTAACAGGCACATTTTTGTGTTGTTATATACCTTTTTGTTCCATCACATCTCTTCCCACCCACAGGTAATCCATTGTAAGGTCAGTTTCTTACAGTATTTTAGTCTTAACTTGTGAATGAAATGTGTCAATTCATAATATTGGCTTTGAATTTTTCCCTCAACTTTTTTAAAAAGATTTTATTGGGGGAGAGGAGCAGCGCTGGGGACTTGGGGGAAGGGGAACAGACAAGTTGCTGTTGTTTTGTTCTTCAGTCTAGTTGTGGAGGACGTTGCTT